TTCCTAACCGCACGAAAAGTTCGGTCTGTGTTTACGGCTAAGGGATGAAACACAGACTGCTAACATTTCTTCATACACATGACATTTAGACCAATTTCTTGTCTCTTATTAATTTTCGCCATTTTATACTTTCAAAACTTATTGCTGTACTTGAACTAGCTGAAGTTTATAGCCCTTCTGTAGTCTTGACACTACTTGATGACCAGTTTGCTGACAGTCCCAACGTTCATTTAGTTTCTGGAAAGGAATATCAGTTCGGTTGTTCTCCCGGCAGTGCTTGGCAGAGCTTTTGACGTTTAAAGCTGTCTGTATGAGTTGAATCTCATTCCGAATGTTGTCACTTCTGGATCTGGATTAGTTATCATACCGACTGGGAGTATTATCTTGTTAGCGACCTCATAAGGAGTTACGATGTTTTTTTGATATCTCATTTGCCCGAGATGTCGGAAGACTATTTCTTATCAATGGATTTTTTTTTTTTTGGACATATAAAATCAAATGAAAATAGCACAAATCCTGAAATTTTCCAACAAATACCCCTTCTCTTCCTTAGTGCTCCTAGAAATAGCTGTGCGGTACTAAAATTTCACCTAGAAACAGAAAACTAGATTCACTAGATTTACCGTTGAAGAACCAGGATGTTAACCTGTGATGGTCGTATCCTCAGGCAAATGGGCACATATTCGTTGGAAGTTGTTGTAATAACCACTGGTTTCACGCGTAATTTATTCCCCGCATTACGTGCCAGCAGCGGTATCTCTTGTTCATAGTCATTTTCAATCTGCAATGGAAGAAAAAAAAGCAATTTCCGGATCATCAGTGGGCTGACCACAAGGCAATACAGTAACGGTCGAAGCAACTGGAAAAGTTGCCAGCTGCATATTTAGAGAATCATGCTGTGATTTACAGCTGATACATATTTGCCAAGTATAATATGGAAAATACCTAAAGATCCGAGAAGTTTACATATTTGCGAGTCGATTTCATGCATTCTACACCTTTTGCTCTTTTAGCAGTGGTTGTTGCTGCTGTCAAATTTTACGTGTTCATACACAAAGTGCTGAAAGGTATGTGTGCAGGGCAAAGTCCATTTAAAATTTCAATTTCCTAGCTTGTCTCATTCTCGAAATCGTTTTCCTGTCAAAATATTTTCCTAGGGACTTCGGGCGATATCAGCTGAAGATGAAAAAAACACATGACTTAATTATTAACTCTGTACATCAAATTTTTGGATGTTTCTCGTCTCTCCAGCAGCAAAATCGGGCCACGAAGATGCGTCCAGTGGACGCTAAATACCAACCTCACTAACAATGCTACACCGCTTCCGCCTAGCTGGACGTGTCCTCCTGACCATTGGTGAGTTTTCGGCCATTTCGTAGTAACACATGGTTGTTGTTGCTCCACCGCTACCCGTATAGCTTCGATATCGTTTCATCAGATAGCCAATTGCTGCATACTCTAATAACGATGCAAATACTGCAAAAAATTTTCTCGGGAAATCATCAGAATTATCGTAATATCAGCGTATACTTGGAATACTTGCGGGCGTGTTTACACCGGCTTGAAATTTTCCTGCTGCTTTGACCAGGGCTGAATCAGTTGGTGGTCAACGTGCTGGCGATCCTGACGTTCATTTTGCTTTCGAAAGGATTGCCAACTCGAAGTTTTTTTTTTCGACAGAAGCACTAGGCAAGTTTTTAGTCTGTCACTATAATTGTTTTTTCTTAACATTTCACAAACCAAGTATTTTACAATGATTTATTGCTTTTTCGTATCCCTATTTCACAGATTTTACCCTGGGACTAATCTCTGGACTTTTAGTTCGCCCCATCCGTTTAATTAGTGACCGGCCATTTATATAAGTTAGCTTCTCCATCTTTTGGGATCTTTTTTATGTATCGCATTCCGACATGACACGGCAGTGGCATACTTCATTCTGGGAACTCCAACGCCCTAGAACCTATTATCCTCTTTTTTATATCGCTCCCTTTTATCCCTCTATATTTTGTACAGTAGTGTTGTATAATGGTCAGTTTTAGTCTAATAAATATGTTAATAAATATTCACACACACATACACAAATGTACAAACACACACACATTGGTCTAGGTAAAAGTCTTAGACACGCGATAAGTTGTCGTTCCGAGATGTCCTAGAAGTATGCTGAAAATCACCGTGCTTAGAACGCTGCTACTCTTAGATCGCGACTACTGGGTAAATTTAATTTCAAAAATAGGAACTGCAAATTACTGAAAATAAGCAGCTCAAAGAAAATGCTTCTTACTATCTTGGGTATAAGTGTAACTCAGTTATCGGACCCTTCACCAACTGTGCGGAATTTTTGGCGGTCTTGCTAAGTTTGCAGCCCCACTACTACTAATGACATTCTGAAACTAGCTCTGTGGCGAATGCATATATTCAAAGAATCAGAATTAGCGCTAAAATTTGTCTATTCGTGCGTAAAATTTTACCGCCTGCTGGAATTTTATTCAAATTTACAGCTCCAAGCAAAATTAAGTACTTTGATTTTAGCTCCAATAGATCCGGACTGTTGTTAATATGACTGCTTTGAGAAGCAGCCAGGGATAGGGAGAGTCTGGATGAGCTTTGGTATAAGGCTGTATCTTGGAGTAGCGTTGCTATTAGGACTTACCGATAAAGAAGCATACTCCCAGGAATATGTCAAGACTTTTCACATATGATACCTGAAAGCAGCAAGAAAGTATATATTTCTTCATCCCTACATTTTCTTTCTACATTTTTTCTAGCAAACGTAGCGCAGTGAGAGTTAGCATTGTTGTTTTAGAAGCGGGTCGAGAATTTAACACCTTCGGTATGAAAACTAATCCCTGCACAATTCGTTTGCTCGTTTCGATGTTAAATTGGTACTGGCATATGCTTGGAAATTAGACGAGCCATCAGCTTGCATCTAAACAATCCTCGAAAGCGGGAGCTTTTGGTTACCGGATTATTAGGATGGTTGCTGGTACATATGAATGTAAATAATTGGAAAAATAAGTTATATTTTCCAACTTTCACTTCATGGAAGGCTAACTTTAAATAAGTTATTTTCTTAGAAATTTGATTTTATTTTGTTTTTGGTAGAACAGATAGCGCTCACATAATAACGAAAGCAACGGGCACAGGCTTCTTGCATCCCGGAACAGTTACGTCAAACATTTTTGATAGCATCAATGTGTTTAATACACTGCGCCTTCAGGCACTTTAAACAGTTCTTTTTGAAGTTAGCCCTAAAAAAAGCACACCTTTGGTAATGAGGCATTTGTTGAAGTCATTAGTGTTGTCATTGTCAGGACAGTTGTCACACCTGCAAACAACTGATTTCTCATTCAAAATGCCCATATAAGTGCAAATGCAAAATTATAACGATAATTGTACTTCTTGCTGTATTGCTAAGGCTGTTTGAAGGCACCAGCTTGGGTGTGCGAAATTTTTTAGAAATCCAAATTCCTCATTAATCATCCGAGCAATAGAAGTGGTCCGGAAAGAATACATCAAAACCGTCAAGAGAAGCGCGTCTACTTACCGATTGCAACACGAGCTTGCGTTGCATCACGATTAAGCCAAAACGATACCCAGGAGATAACAACGATTAACGATGAGGGGAAGTAGATTTGGATCAAGTAAAAACCGATATTCCGTTTAAATGTGAAATATGTTGAAAGTCGTGAATAGTTTCCTAAAACATTATCAATGAATATTCGATTTTGCAGGATAATGAAAAACAGTGAGATAGAAATTGGTTGAACAACAGAAGTGTGAAAATGACTTTTGAACTGTAACGCATTTCATAACAGCCATCCGTACGACAGATTTATTAAACAGTTACAATCACGTCCAGAATACCAAGTCCGCTGGAGCTTTCAGTGCGCATATCCCATGTTAGTGATATTACTGCGACGCTGCTGCGCGCATCTATTTATACCGGGACCACCCGAACTATTTATTAATGGGGGTGCCCTATGTTG